GCAGTTTCTGACTTTTATGTCCCTTGGGAAAGCTTGGTAGTACTTGTTTTCTTAATGATTGTCTGTCTGTACCTCGTCATTGGAAAAGGCCTGGATGAATTCCCTCTGTAAATTAACTTCATTCAATTCCAATAATGCCATGTCTGTGCTTTTTCTTATTTTCTTATTTTTTCTTTCACAGAGAGACCATAAGATCCAGTCTGGAGCCGGTCCTTTGGACATGCAGCTTGCTCAGGTGCCAAAGATGCTCTCATTGCTCAGAAGTGAATGGGCACCTTTGGCTTTCTGCATATCATTTAAGGTCAGTTCTTCAATGGCTGCCCTGTCCATGGAATTTCACTATTTCAGAAGTCACATAACACTGCAGAACTGGTTTTATTTTCCAAACTGGTTTTATTTCACAGTTTATGGCGCAATTTACATTATATAAACATAATGTATACCCCGTGAGCCATAGCTAATGGTCAAACCTATCATTGAAATTGGGTCTTCAGTAGTATCTACGAACCGATAAGAAGCTAGGATTCATTATATATCCTGTTTAGTGTAGTTCAGTCAAAGAACACCAAGATGCAATTGGTAGGACCTGTAATCGTGTATAATGAGGAGTGGTTCTAAGCTTATATGTTGGTTTGTTAATTTTGTATTTATTCATTATGGGATACTAAGCAACCCGCCCTTTGACCATGGGGCCTACAAATCCGTGTCGGGCTACTCCAATTCCATGATAAACTTGGGTTTCTATCCTAAAAGTTTAATTTGAGCTGCCATCTTGAGGGATAGGACGTGTTAATTGCCCACTTTGTATAAATATAACTTAATAACAACATAATCATGAGCTACTCTCCACAGGGTTGACTTTTTATGATTAAACCTCAAGCCCTAATGGTATGAGAGCCCATTACCATCGTCAAACGAGTAACTCAAACCGATTTAGACTATCCAACTAGATCATCTTGATTCTTGAGGGCATAATAACCCTTTATACACCGACCAAGTATAAAGAAATTAACCACAATTGGACCAAATTCTGATACCACCATAAAACTGATGAATATACTTAACAAGTAAAGTGAATCTTTTAACTTTGTGCAATGGAAAAGGCCCTTTTGTCTGATGCCTTCCATCTCAGCATGACTAGGTCTTTATATATTCATGGTATTATGCACAAACTGTAACTCAACAAAAAGACCAGGATCATTTAATCTGCTGACCTCTCATTTCTTAATTGCCAGCTCGAAACTGATAAAGATATCCTCTTGGAGAAGGCCGAATTGGCTCTGAAAAAGTATGGAATGCATATGGTTGTAGCTAATGAGCTCTTAACCCGCAAAGAGGAAGTGATTGTTGTTGCACCCAATGAACATATTACCGTTACGAGGGATAAATTGCAAGCCGGGGCTGATGTAGAAAACCCTCTGATCAAGCTCATTGTAGATAGACATTCAGAATATCTCAACAGACCGATCCAGCAGCCTAAATAGCCTGCAACTAAACATTTGGCACTATAGAGCCGTTGGACGGTTGGAGAAGGCATGCCCTAAAAAATTTGTAAAAGATATGAAATCTCATTGGTGATCAGACGATCAAAACTTGAGACGTTGAAATATCAATGTACTATCAAAAGGCATGACAGTAGAATTAGTCAAGAGTAACATAACAATTCAATACGTTTGCCTAATTTTCATGACATAATTTCATAAACAATGTACATGCTTAATAACAAAGTTACAACTAATGAAGTCATTTGTTCTAAGATGACTAAAATGGGATTCATGGGGTGCCAATGGGAACATGGCGCAGGGTGAAATAGGAGGGGTTGAGGCGTTGAGCCGTTGAGCCGCTGAGGGGGGCATTGTTCTAACGTCCTTATTCACACAAAATATCCATATTCCGAGCACTGTTAGGCGGCAATAGCCATCAATAGGTGGTAGAAGAAATGAATAATGCACCCACATGATGGTTAGATAGGGAATAGCCGATCAACTCAAAAGTTACGGACTTACGGTAGAACACCCCATTATGGTAGCAGAAGTGCAGGACGCCCCGACATTCTAATATAGACAATAACATGTTGGATACGAACTTGTCACAATTTAACACAAGTTGTTGCTGGGATTTTTGCATGGAACTTACTAGGATCCGCAAATCCATGACATAATATGTGTGGAAGCTGTTCTATTAGGAGATATTTGGCTCATAATTGTGACAAAAAACAGTCCATGACCGATCCGTGCGAAAAATGTTTTTTTAGTGTTCATATTCGATTTTGAGAGTTTCATGTCACTTTGGCGTAGTTCCTAAATAAGTAAATTTCAATTGTTTATACTCATGTAAATATGTAATTATTTTCTTGAAAAGATTAACTTTATCCTCGTTTAAGAATCATAAAGTATGATACTATCGTATATGAGAACTTCATTTTCGGACAACGTGTGTCAGATCATGCAAAGTTATTCATTATGATGCCATGACTGGTCAAGCTACGCTTTGTTTCATTCCCATTAGTCGAGGTAAAATTGTTCTATTTAGACAATACTCGAGATCAAAATGGTGTCATTTCAAGCTTGGTTTTAAATAATAATAATAATGCATAAGTTTCTTCAATACAATAATAATTTTTTCCCAGCAGGTTGTACAATATTCATGTGTAATACTATTCAATCACATTAGTAGCAAGACATCTATGTATCACCCAAGTACTAATACTATATTCTAAGACCATTAGCGATGAAAAAAAAAATTAGCGATGAAGTGAAAACACTTTCCTGAGTGCCCCAGGTCCTTCACTCCATTACGCCTAACTGCTAATTTATTAACTTTGTAGGCGTATCTACATTCTTTTTATTTTGCTTTCAGTTTCATTTTTTAATGTGCCAAAAAAAAAAGACACCATAACTAACTAATGTACATAAAAGAGTTCTATGCTTACTTTTTCTTGATTTCTTCTTATGATTGATATGACTGTCCAGTCCTAGTACTCCATAATTTGATGAAACAAGTCTTTCAAACTATTTGTTCTTGTCCAACAAGCGGAGCGATTCCTAGATTACGAAAGGTTGGTTCGGTGGCTTCTTTGTCTGGCAATTGGAGTAGTCGGCGATTGAAGGTGGTCACGTTGGTTCGATGAAGCGAGCAAGGGACGTGCAAACAGTCTTCCTGGCGAGAAGAAAGATGTGAGGACATTTACCTGGGTCAGCGTGGCTTCAACAAGAAGAAGGTAGCGAGGAAGACACAGGGATGGAGTTCCAACAACATCCTTCAAACGTTGGTTCGAACGGGACAATGGAGGCTATTTATGAGCAGTGTGAGATTGAGAATTTGACTCACATATAGTGTAATGGAGATGGAGAAAGAGAATGACTTTCTACTGGTGGAGGCCACGGCTCCAGATACTTCAAACGTGGGTCTGTCTCTAGTAGGGACATTCACATAAAAAAAGTCAGTACATTTCTCTATTTTCGCGATAAGATGGTGAATGTTTGGAAACCTGTACGAGGTGTCACTATTACGGAATTAGGGACCAGAAGATATATGTTTCAGTTTTACAATGAAAATGATATGCTTAGGGTGTTGAAGGAAGGACCATGGACTTTTGATCAAAATCTCAATGTTTGTGCAAACTAGGGAAAGAGGATCTACCTTTGATGGTGCCCTTAAATAGGGCTAATTTATGGATACAGGTTCATGATGTACTGGTAAGATATTTTTCTATGAAGAATGCGGTAAAGATGATTTTGAGGGGAAGTTTATTAAAGTAGATGAATACAATTTTTCTGCTAAATGGATCCCGTTTATGAGAATAATAGTCAATATTGATTTGAGCAGACCTTTGAAAAGGAAATTATTCTTGCAAACGGGTGAAGGGGTTAATTTTTGTGTCAGTTTTCGCTATGAAAACTGCCTAGATTTTGTTTTGCATGTTGGATTATTGGACATGCCGAAAGGTATTGCCCTCGCTATCCTACGGGTGGTGGGAAGAGTGGAGGACTTCCTTTTGGGCAAGTGCTTAGGGCTACAAAAGGAAGAGCACATGTAATAGGAAATAAGTGGTTAGTTCTAGTTGGAAAAGGAATGGATAAGGATGATGAAGGCAGAGTCATTATGTCAGACGTGGAGGACCACAGCGGACTGATGAGGGGAGAGGATGAAAACATTGCAGGAGATAAGACTGAGCAGAAACAAAGGAGGATTGATCAAGGGTAGGTAGAACCAAGGCATAATAATATGGAGGTAGGGTGGAACTGAGGGCACCAAAAATGGGAAGGAGGCGAGCTGCAATTTGCCTATCACACAGCTGAAAATCGGTTAGGAAGACCAAGAGACAATGGAACCGAGAGAGCATCAGTTGAAAATTTTTAATTATTTACTTATGCTATATTCAATTTAGACTGATTTCTAATTTATGTTTTGTTTTTATTTTGTCAAACAATAAGGGTAGTTGATTAGTGGTTTGTTTTATTTTAGTAGATAGATTTTTCATGGAAGACAATCAGGCTTACTCAGCCGCTAATAGGCTCGAAGCTCTCACATATTCTGCGGTTAGTCTCGCTCTGATTGGATGGACTATTCTATGTCTGATCAAGAAGTGAGGGGGGCGATGGACTTTCGATTGTTGTTGGAGAATATTGTTGGTTGTTTGGTTTTGTTTATATTAATATTTCGTATAAGCTTTTTCCTGCCAATTATTTTAAACTATTGTACATTCTTTATCCAGTTTCATCATCATCATCATCATCATCATCATCATCATCATCATCATCATCACTACTACTACTACTTTATTCAGAAGATGGAAACACTATAAATACAATAATCACTCTTTGTGTACATGTCGGGTTAAATGTCCATTTTTCATTTTTGTACATAGAACTGCTCGTGACATAAAAAAAAATTATTGTATACCACACGAACAATTCACTTTTTCGATCGGTGTAATAGACAATTATCTTTGCAAAAATGAAACAAAATTGCCTGCGCGCAAACAAAAAAAAAGACATGTAATCCGGCGTGTATAAAGAGACTTTTTCAAGATGATATAGGTTTATTTTAGGTTGAACAAAAAAAGAAATGCCACATGTAATATAGAGGACAGTGACTATATGTCATCCCTCCCATACTATTATTCATCAATATTAATTTCCAAATTGACGGAGGAACTGAGGAACAAACAACCCCCATTCAAATTGTGACCCCTCTTCTTATTAGCTAGCAACAATCAGACGTCCAGGCAAGGTCACGTCTTATTTTCAATCACAAGTACAAATTATTTGTTTCTTTTCCTTCTGTTTTTCCAATTTTTTTATTTTATAAATTCCTAAACCCACTACCCAGCCAGGATCCTACCTTAGCTAAAGATTCCATTATTATATGACTGCCTCGAAAGATTCCAATGACTTCAATTCATCAATAGATCCATTCTTGAGGCAACTGATCCTCGTGGCTGCTCATTTCCTTTGTCGGTAGGAGATGGGTATCTCCTGTTTTGCGTCGCTCTCCTTGTGAAAGAATAAAACCCTTCTTTCTCCCATCTGTGAAAAAACAAAAAACAAATTACTATCTCCCTCCGGCTAAAAAAAGGTGACATGGTCATAAAGGAAGAATAAAGTAACAATGATTTAAATCCAAACAAACTTTACAAAATTTTGTATGAGGCAATCTTAGTGAGAATTTTGAAAAGAAAAACTAGTACGTAGTATAATCTTAGTGGGACGGAGAGAGTAATTTACTACTTACTATGTGTTTAAAAGTTTGATACACTTTCTTATTTGGGATGTATTTAAAAGTTTGCTACACTTTCCCTTTTTGGTAAGATTTTCCTTTAAAGATGCTCGTTTACCCTTATTTTTTTCTACTTTTTATCCCCTCTTTCCTACTTTTTTTATCTTCTCACCTACTTTTTCTACACTATTCATTACCCCTACTACTATCCCTTAAATCTTGTGCCAAACACCTAATGTAGGAATCTTTTAAATACGAGGGGAGTAGGAAATAAGAGCAAAATTATTATCATTATCATTATCATCATCATCATCATCATCATCATCATCATCATCATCATCATCATCATCATCATTATTTTATTACGAGTTATTTATATTCATTTATATAAAGCTAATAATGTTATAATGGGGTATCCTAGCCTCCTCCTCCTACTGTCCTAGGAGTGTATCTGGCTGTCCTTCGGACTAGGTTGTAAGTCAGTCAACTTACCAATCCTTTCAAGAACTATTTCATGCCGTGGCAACTATCAACACCAAACAATTTTTTGTGTAGACCTACCTACTTGTATGTTATAAGAGTGGAGCTAGGTGTACACAAAAGTTGTACACAAAAGTTGTACACTTGTCTGTCCTTCACAGACAAGTTGTCTCTCCACAGACAACTCGTCTGTGGACAGACAACTTGTCTGTGAGGGACAGACAAGTGTACAACTTTTGTGTACAACTTTTGTGTACACCAATCTTTTTTCATGTTATTAACCCTGTTATAACTTGTAGAGCTGTAGGGTGTAGTCAGTAGTCACGGCACTAGCCAGGTCGGTATAAGGAACCTTTAAAATAAATTTGTATAAATGAAATGTTTTTTTACTAAAAATTAAGATACTTTTCAAATTTGTATTGGCCTCTAGCTCCGCCATCGCTAAGTCCTATTTCGAACAACAACCACAACAATAACATTCAAGCCTTATTTCGCACAAATGATATCAAGAAGGGTTTAAACCTAATTGAACCATATTTCAGTGTTGTGATATGAATTGGATAATGTTGGAAAAAACTCCGAACTTTCTCATTTCGTTAAGTTAAGATAGGCGCTGAAGAGTTAAGGTAACAATGAGAGCACATGAGTATAATTCTCCAATATGGAGATTCTTCCACTATACAAAAGAACAGTAGGATTTATTACAAAATTGTCTCACTCAAACTTGAGGATAGGTACTTTCCAAGCTAACTATCTTCTCTCTCAAAGAGGCTCTCTAACTTTCTAGCTTCTCACTCTAGAAAGTGACTTCTCTCTTGTTACGATGGTTAGGAACGAAGACCCCTACTCCTATGTATACTACTCCACCTCCATAATGAATGGTGGAGAGTAGTTCTATAGAATGATCTACACATCTCTACATATTCTAGAGAACTTCAAGAAGTCTCTACATCTCTTCATTCCCTTCCATATGCTTCCATACTCTTCCATGAGGTCCCGGAAGGTTCCACACATCTCCAGAATATTCTAGAGGATTCCATACTATTCCGCAAGCTTATGAGAGTTCAATTCTAGACTTTTCTAGGATTCTCCGCAATGTTCTAGAAAATTCTATACTTCTCTAGAAAGCTATAGAATTTTCTAGAACCTCTCCAATTAATTAAGGAGGGATCCCAATAGATAATTATGCTTCCCGCTTCCGATATCGGAGCTAGAACTGGGTGCCTTTCTTGGCTTGATATCCATTCATATCGAACCTTTAAGGATATTTTCTTTTGGACTGAAATTTGCTGATCTGATCTGGTCTAGGACTGAAAACAATTTAAAAGAAAACATCCAGAAGGCTTTCGATAAGGATCTTTTCCCTAACCTGGACAGAGAGTTACTGCCCTTCCTTTCATTTAGTCTCAAAAATTTGGACGTCCTTTAATTTCATTTTCAAATCAGACTAAACAAGATGAGACTTACATCTTAATAGTATACCCCTAATATTAAACATTATCAGACAAGTTGCTTAATTGCTCATATTTATGTGATGATGTGAGATGCTTATTTAAAAAGTACACAGATCCTAGATGTAGTAGAGGTTTGTTTCAATTTAGGTGGGTGAGCAATATAGAGAAAGAGTGAGATGAAGAATTAAAGGCGTACCAAACATGGGGTTCCGGTAGGGAATGGGAGAAGGAGTAGATGGAATGCATGCATTAGATTGCGACACAGCAGCCTCCGTTTGGTTGAAATGAAGTTGCAAGGCTTGTAATACCCGCACTGGTACCAATGCAGTTGAACATCCTGATCATACTTCAAACAATTAGTTCTGAAGATACTAGTTTTACTAGTTTTCCCATGATTTTCGTGTTTCTGTGCAACATAGACAAAGAATTACGGAGTATAAATCGGCTGGATTGAAACACTAGGGAACCTTTCAGCCAATTATTTTCAGTCTAAGCATAATTAAGTTATGTATCCAAATAATTTTACTTCTATTTTACTACGTAATAATTAGCTGAATTTTTTCGATCAAACTCAGCCCATAAAGAGCTGAAGTGACATGAAAAATATTTCTTCGAAGTTCAGAGTGTGTTTACTAGTTGTAATATACTACGTAATTTAATTTAGTAGGAGATCCTGTCATGTATGGAAGCGATTAATTGTAACCACGCTAAAGGGTGTTTTGTGATGCTTAATAACTTGATTTTCCAATTTTGCCTTTAAAAAGACTAAAAGTAGTGCTTTAGAACAAGTGCTTATACTTAAGTAGGCACTTGGAGAAATCCAAAAGAAGAAGGTATTTTGAAGTGGTTCTCACTTTTCTAGTAGACAATCAATGACTAAAATTGATTTAATTATGTGTGTGGATAATTTAATTTTATCATGGGTCAACTTAAAATATGCAAATTACAATTCAATTTGGTAGGAGGAAAGACTTTTCAAAATCATTTTTTTTCAAATACTACCAACTTTTTTGACTTTTCATATAATTTATAAATTAAATCACTTCTCTAGATAAAAGCAAAGGCAAATACTCCATTAAGACTTCTTCACAGAAATGCACTATTTCCTATTGAAAAGTTCATTGCAAAAAGCAGGGGCGTTTTTAGAGGAGCCATGCTAGGCCCCAACTCACCCAAAACTTGAATTTTTGTGAGATTACTACTACTAGGGTAAAAGATTCATGTAAAAAAATCTAAAAAAATCCTTGTATCAGCTTAATCCAATATAATATTCTGACTACGCCTCTAGGAGAAGTGCTATCCACATAACACTTTACACTTGAATTGAATTATTATGATGGAAATGTCCTTCATATGAGAAACTTATTTTATTAGGAGACATATTTGGTGAGCAAGAAAAACACTCCCTGTGAGATGCAAGTTGGCCTCATTGCAAGAAAGACATGCACATTATCGTAATATATATGGATCACGCTAACATGTTCATTATGGAACACGTTGGCATGATCGGTGGCCCGAATTTTCCATATTTTCAAATGAGTGAATCTTTATCATTCATCACGCAAATATGCTCCGTAGTGAACAAACAGATTTGCATGCTCCATATATTTACTCCTGAGTCCTAACCTTAAGTTAGAGGTTTAGCCATCTAGGTACATCTAAATAGAACAGCTTACATGTCACCATCACATACGGATGTATTTAATATTTTTGTTAATAATGTCGTGGACGCATAAAACACAGAGAAAACATATGAAAGCGCGGGTGAGTGGGTGGCATCCAACAGGACATGAGATTCTAATTCATTGCAAGGTTCAGATTCCATTCCTACATGAATTCCGTACCTATTTCAGTATTGTTGATTCTTCACTGCCTCCGAACGTAATATTATGTCCACTTGTCCACACATTATGTATACAACCTCACCCCTTAATATCTAGGACAAACAATTTGGATCCGTTTTTAAGTCAAAATGCTTGTCATACGGTATGACAAGCATTTTTTAAGTCAAAATGCTTTGGTCGGTATGACTCATACCGACCAAAATTTGCAAAAAAAATTATGGGTATCACCGTATCACTATTAACATTTTTTTTTGTTCAGTGCTATGGGTAAATAAGATTCTAAATAGGACTAAAAACGTATTTCAAAATAAGACTTTCATTTTTTTGTTCTCTAAATAGGACTAATTATTGTTATGTTTTGGCAGTACAAAACTTAAAACATGCCAGTATTATTTAGAGAAGAAAAATATATCGGTCATATTTTGGAATTCTAAAACGTTTTTACTCCCATTTTGGAAATTTTCCCATAAATATTCTATAAGTGTGATCCTTTTCAAAAATCAAGAAATATACACGCTTCCTGTTTCATAAAACTTGGTCATATTGACTTATGTTAGTCAATGATAGTCATATTTGAATAATGATATTTTTTAATACAAAATTATTTCAAATATGAAAATTGTATGAAAATATTATTTGTCAATAGTACTTTCATCAGAGTACAAAATTTATTGGTTTTACACAAATATAATAACTAAAATCATTCCCAAGCTTTATTACCATTGATTAAGAAAAGCGCCAAATTTTGCGAGAGAGATGTAGTATACTCTTAGTCCCAAATTCTTATATTCCTTTTAGGACAATATATAAAATAAAGTCACTAACATCAAATAATAATAACGTACAATGTCAAAAATATTAAACAATATCAAATGTTGTCAAGATAGTGTAGGAACAGATCCAAGAGTTCGAGTCAAAGGGGGCAAAAAAAATTGTTTGTGTAGGAGGTGAAATTTTTTCGCTAGTGCAGCGTGGCAAGATTTTTTCTGCTAATACAGCGGGGCAAAATTTTTCGCTAGTGCAACAAAACGAAATTTTTTCACTATTATAGAGCTCCACGGCTAATTTTTATTCAAAAGATTAGTATGTGCACTATGACGTTTAAATCTATTACATTCGAAGTTTAGACAATGGAAAAGTAACTTTAAATTTTGTAACCGTAAATGCTCTTGAAAAAAGTATGGATACATTAAAACATAATAAATTGCAAATCAAAGGAAATTTGTTTGAAAATAAAAAAGGATATATAACATTTTCTCAATTTATTTGAAGGTAAAAAATTTAAAAGGTACACGTCAATCAATGTATTTTAAATAACTTATGTCTTGTTTAACCACATGAATCTTATCTGAATAAGGAATTGGTTTTTGAATTGTAAATTTTGTCTGCCAAGGAGGCCGGGTGTTCATGGGTCATGAGAAGTTTTCTTAATATTACAATAGTATGCATGGGATTATTATTTTTAGAATAATATTATACGTAGTATTGTTAATTCATATATATGGTGCATATTATATTTGTATTAATACTAAAATACGTTAAAGTTTATTAATTATGCAATAATTTGCTTTTAGAAAGTAAGAACTAAATGAATTGTATAATTTAATGTCAACAAACTAACATTTATATTTTGTATACATTTCACATGATTTAAAAGCTGTTTAACTAGTGTGTCTTGTATTTAATATTGTTTGATCTCTTACAATTAAAATTTAGTACTAATTATATAATAAATGTAATTAAATACTACAAAGCTTGGAATTTTTATATAATAGGCATCCTATGTCTTAAACTAACTAAATAATTTTAGATTTTACTTCTTTTAAATCCTCAATTAAGGATTACACTATGTAAGACTATATATTAACTTTGAAAACTAAAAGTTAAGGGGGCGAAAACATATACATCTAATAAAAGTATGAAAATTTTATGAAAATACTACATATATAGTAGAAAAATTTGAAAGTCCAAGGAGGGCGGTCGTCCCCGCGCCCCCCTTAAAACCGTCCCAGAGATAGTGTACTTTTACCGTACTATTTAATTATACTCCGACTCAGCGTGGAGGGTGTTTTAAAAAGTCAAGGGAACACATTCAAATTAATTCTTGAAGATAACTGCGCATTTTTGCGTTCAAGAATTAATTTGAATGTGTTCCCGATTGAATTTTTAGCTGAAATTTGGTATGAGTAAACTAGACTTGGTGAATAAGATGCTCAAAAAATTTCATAAAAAAATTCCACCGGGAACTGCCCCAAATCGCGACGGCCGGACAGAATCTCCTATAGAAGGACTTAATTGACCTTTTATGAAAGTTCGAGGACCTATTTGACAGTTTTCCCAAAAGTCAAAGAAAAACTCTGATTTCCTTAAACTGAGTGAAGGTCGATGAAAGTAGAATTTCTTTGATGGGGGTATTACATACTCCGTATATAATACTTGGAAACAAACAAAACATAATCTTCTTCAAACAAAAATGAATGTGTTAGGGACAACCGGACAAGGAGTAATACTATTTTTTAAGCAAAGGAATCGTGCTATATGCCGACCTATATGTAAATGGTATATCTTGATTGAATTGGTGTGAAACGAAATGTCAAATGTATATTCATTCCATTCCATTACTTTATATGGTTATGTATGTATGCTGTAATTAGCAACGATCATTAGTCAATTTATGATATTCCCATGTATATATATGGAAGTTAATTCATCAAATATACAAACATGGTCTTGTATAGCCTGTGGAGAGAAATCCTTGATTTAAGACAAAAGCTTACTGGGTTTAACGTCCAAATTCATTGAACGCATAATAATTAAGGAGCATTGTCACTATTAGTAATATATCTGTACGTTGTTGAGAGATATATAGAATTGAAAACTCCATAAATGACACAAACTAAAATACATTTTCAATAAGACAATTATTTGTTTCACTAAAAATAAAATTCATTAACCTCTAAAACCTACATGAATTATTTAGTACTCTGATCTTATCTGTACAGTGGATTAAGGAGTCCTAGGCTAAACACATAATTGTGAGCCACAGATTGTCAGCATATATAGTTTATTTAATATTATAACTACAATGATAATGAACAATGCTGATAAATGAAAAAGGGAAAATAAAACTAATACCAGCTACAGCCCATAAATCAATAATAATACATACCTAATTGGAAATAACTTTAAATAATTCCAACTATTTGTATATATACAACAATAACATGGAGCCACTTTCTCACTAAAAATACAGTCATTTCAGATGCCAAAAACATACATCAAACAATAAAATGTTAAATGTCTCACACCGGAAAAGTTTGGATGAACAAAGTGCTATATTAACACATGAGCTACTTCTCCTATCAGGTTGACCTTTTAGGATGAAACCCCGTGTCTTAACATGGTATCAGAGCCAAATCGATCCATGGTGTGGGGCCCCTTATGAAAAATGATGGCGTGATTATAAAACGACCGGATAAAAAAAACAACGGATTGATGAAAAAATGAATGATGACACGGTCCAGACGAAGTGTCTGGTCGTGAGGAGGGGTGTTAAATGTCTCACACCGGAAAAGTTTGGATGAACAAAGTGCTATATTAACACATGAGCTACTCCTCCTATCAGGTTGACCTTTTATTATCGAACCTCGTGTTTTCACATCAAATAAATGTTATTTTATAATCGGGTCACTTATTTGATTATTTGACACGAATGTTTGATGATTTAAATTATTGAATTTCTAGTGGTTATGATTCTGCATCACCTTTGTTATATGTTCAAGCAGTTGATATTATTAAAATTCATTTCCAAAATATGTATTATTGATTTAGGGGCAATAGTTGATATTATTTAAAGTTATTCTCCATGAAAAACAATCATAATAGTATGATCATCTAATAATCAGATTCTCATATATATAATAATTCTTTTGTGAAAAATGTATAATTGTAGAATATCGTAATCGGATTTAATTGGAATTAGGCGATGTTTGGAAGATGGTGGGGCAAGTCAAAGCCTAGGCGCCTATCCCGCGAATAGTAACCGTGCCTTCATTTACGGTAACGGCAGTTACGTTAGACCAAATGCCATTTCGTGAATCGATTGACCACTAAACAAATTAAAGTACTCTCTAATTGTCAATTAGCAATAGCCAAATCAACAGCATCCTAGGAATATTTGATTAATACTGAGTATTACGTCGGAGATCCTAATTATTTGACTTTAAGTCAACACTAATGACAGTGAAAGATTCTAAAGTCTAATGAGAAATTTTAATTAGGTGGACAATGTGTCAAGAAGAATCGCAAATGTCTCCTTAACCTTCTTATGTACTTGTTTTAAGAGTTACTTGATAGAGTTTACCTTTTCTATTTTGTCCTAATAAGATTTTAATCGATTCATCTCATTCTTTACATGACCTCATGCAACGTACCATCACATTGTATACAGTGTATGTTGAAACCATCTTTATTAGTATTTAATTTCATATAATAATGGGAACTTTACAAAATTAAACACTCCAGCATATATAGTCACGACACTGGGGTCGAACTGGACAGGTATAAAGATTTCTTTGAATAACTCCCTTTTTTAAAGAAGAAAGCTTAAATTACTATGAATAACTTCTTTACACTTATAATTGAATGTTTTTTTAAATTTAGGGCGAGTCAGAGAATTAATATGACCACATAACTCCGCCCGTGATGGAAATCAAGATATTTTAAATATTAATGCTAAAAATGTAATAGTGATTGATATGGGTGAACCAACTCTTTTACTAGTTTTAATCTCAAATCATATCAGACTAGAAAAAATTACTAGACTAGAAGAATATGATTATATATTCCCCTTATAATAATAAGTTAACATAATCAATGTCATTGACTGTGATGATGAATATGGTTACCTCATTAATTAACAAATTTAAAAGTCATTTACTTAATTTCCTTTTTAAGAGAGGTCTAGTTACTCTAGTACCCATGTGTGTCGCAGAAACATAACAAAAAATTATTATGGAATAAATGAACATAACCACAAATTTAATACTCCGTCCCATTGGAATTTGTCAACTTTCTCTTATTGGTTGTCCCAAAAAACTTTGTCGCTTTACTAATAAAGCAACTAATTTGTGGTTCTGCACATTTCTCTCTTTTCTGCACAAATTTCAACAACACAATTTTTACTTTTATTATTTCCCGCCTATTTTGCACTTGACAAAGTTCACCGGGACGGAGGTAATATTAGACACATTTTTGCATAAAAAGTTTTTTTGAAGGCCCATGTTTTTTCTCAAAAAACAAATAAAGATTGAGATGAAGAAGCCATTTCGTTTCGATGCTCACATTTAAAATCATAATATAATCAAAACTTAAAGTAATGAATAATCAGGAGTATAATTAACAGCATACTAAGGATGTTTTCTTTTGGACTGAAATTTGCGGGTCTGATCTGGTCTGGTCTGGTCTGTTTAAGGTTGGTCTGGTCTGGTCTGATCTGGTCTGGTAAACGTCTGGTCTCTGTGTATTTTATAACTAAGAAATTCTGGTCTGGAATGGTCTGATCTGTTTAAGTCTGGTCTGGACTGAAAAGAGTCTAAGGATGTTTTCTTTTGGACTGTTTTCAGTCCCAGACCAGACCAGACTTAAACAGACCAGACCAGACTTAAACAGACCAGACCAGACCAGACCAGACTTAAACAGACTAGACCAGACCAGACCAGACCAGACTTCCGTAGTTATAAAATACACAGAGACCAGACGTTTACCAGACCAGTTCAGACTAGACCAGATCAGACCAGACTTAAACAGACCAGACCAGACCAGACCAGATCAGACCAGACCAGACTTAAACAGACCAGACCAGCAAATTTCAGTCCAAAAGAAAAACATCCTAAAAGAAAACATTAGTTGATACGTAATTCAAAGTAGAATGATGAACAAGAAAACAATGTCGTACCTGATTTTTTCACAGTTTCAGTTGGATGTTGGTTGATTACACGGGGCAAGAAAACACCTGTCCCCACAGTATGAGATTTATTCCGGAGCCCCGACCCGCCAATTAATATAGCCTGCATACCCGACCCGTTTTTCACCGGGTTCACCTTTTCTCCCCCCATTCGCGGACTCTTTTTCGATGACGGCTGCTGCGGCCGGTCTTTGCGGTCGGGCTGTGACTCGGTTCTCGCCTTTCTCCGTCGGGTCGACCCGGCCTTCTTGGATCGCCTTCCCCGCGAAGCAATCTGGATCCCCTGTTCAACGACCGAAGGCTGGTTCTGTAATTTATAAACCTGCAGAAACGCCATTAATGGAGTCTTCACATGAAAAAGATCGGATCTTTATTCTTTTCTTTTTTCACTTACTTCAATGGGTCTAATCGAATCGTTAAGCATGAAACTGGGTTGAACTGCGGAACTCGGTTCGAATAATCCTCTGTTATCGTAATAGCAAATGGAGCTTCCATTGGAGGGTTTTTCCTGGGGAAGAATGGGTTTTTCACCTCCGCCGCCGTCATCGTCATCTCGGAGCATGTAATCAGCCATCTGCCGAGTTAACTCGGCAATGAAATCTTCCTCTTCTTCCTCTCCGCCGCCGCCTGTAACGTCGCTCTCTGTTTCGGTTATGGTGAAGCCCAATTCGGACCCGCAGGAGGTGCTGAAGCCATCAGAAGAAGTTTCGGATTGGGCGCCGGACCCGAAAATGGAATCCACGCCCCAAACGGGATGACGCAGAGGAGCGTCGTCTTTCACATGCAACTCTATAGTGGCCATAACAATGGCGGTGTTCAAATGGCGCTCCTTAAATATTGAATTAAAACACAGGAAAAGAAGGCTCCGGACTCAAATGTTTTTTGCCTAAGAAGGCAGTTGTAATGGGAGTTCATATATACTCTGTATGTACTTGCTCCTTCCCAAATTAAATTTAGAAGCTCTTAAGATTGGAGAACGTTTTTAATAGGGTTTAGGATGCTTTCTTATGGAATATGGATTATTTTCAATCCTACGTCACATCAAATCAGATCAGATTAAAACATATTAGATGGGATTGAAATAGATGAGAATAAACTAGACCATATTATTATAATCATCATCAACAATATTATATTACGAATATTATTATATTGGAAAAAGTACAGAAAAAGTACTTGTGGTTGGGCCCGTTTTCAGATACGTTAATGTGTTTCATTCTTTATTTAAGTGGTTCATGTGTTTGAATTCCATTATCACAAGAGGGTCACGCCGTTAAAAACGCCTGAAAAAGACCGTTAAAACTAACTCTGATTTTCAAAAGTGCCCGGAAAATTAAAAGAAAAAATACTGAAAGCTGCGCCTCGTCAAGATGACCTTCAAACCACCTTCGCCTTTAGATTTTTCAGATCTGTTTGAATTATTTTTTAAAAATGATTTCGTTAATATCACTTTTCCGGTGGACTTTCCGGTGACAGGGGTGGCTGAAAACAAAAAAAATATGGCCTACCAGTCGTCTTATTGAGGCGCACCTTCTGATATTTTTCTTTTAATTTTTCGGGCACTTTTGAAAATTGGAGTTGCTTTTAACGGTCTTTTTCAGAAGTTTTTAACGGCGTGACCCTCTTGTGATAACGGAATTCAAACACATGAACCACTTTGATAAAGAATGAAACACATGACCCTATCTGAAAACAGGCCCAATCACAAGTACATTTTCCGTACTTTTCTCTTTATATTATTTATATTACAATTACTTTGTACTAGTATTATTTATGTTCATACGAAGTATATTATTATACATACGAATATTTTATGAATGTTTCTTAATTGGATAAAATTTTCTGATTTGATTTAGTTCGTCTATTGAAACTGGTTTGATCTATTATAGTCTAGTCTGGACTGATCTATTCTGATTTGGTCTGTTTAAGTATGGCCTGCTCTGATCCAGATTGGTTCTAGACAGAAATCAATCCATGTAAAGCATTATATCTTTCGATAATTTGGAAGGAAATTTATTATTTTTAATTATATATGAATAAAAATTAATTATTTACGAATTATAATATACGGCGTATAAATAATATGCCAGTTAAAATAAAATTCTAGACCAAATCAAATCAGTATAGACCAAAACAGACCAAATCAGAATAAAGTAGTCCGGACCAGCAAATTTTAGTCTAAAGAAAACATCATTAATGCACCAAACCTCATATAGAAGTTCAATGCATTAGTCCCTTGTGATTTAAAAAATGCATTAAACCTTTTGTGTTATAATTATTAATGCGCAAGGCACATTCTATGAACAAATTTAATAATTTGGAAATCACTTTCCTTTATATTAAACTCCATAATTGAATATGCAAAACAAATTGTATTGAAATTTCCAAATTATACAAAAATGCTAGTCATTTATCTTTTATAACTTATAAAAAGGGTCATGCTCATGAATTATTATAACACATGGGGGTTGACGCATTTTTTAATAATCACATAAGACAAATGCGCTAAATTTCTATATTACAGAAGAGTTAGGTGCATTAAACTCGTTTTAAATAGGTCTGGTTTTTCGCCTGATCTGGTTTGGTTTGATCAATTTGAACTATGCTGCTTTGATGAATGTATGTTATATGTGTAATCTATAATAATGAAAGTCTAGTCAAATCTGATCCGAACTAGATTGAATCTAGTCTAATTAAAGATAGCTTTGCTACTAATGAATTCAAATATTTTCTAGAAATAGTTAAATAGAAAATCGCTAAAAATGAGTGAAACCTTATAAATTTCTTATATGGAAGTAGCATTATTTTCATTTCAAAATATGACCGCTCTTATTTAGGATGAATGTTTTTATTTTGTTCTTCTTTAATAGGCATAAATACAAAATTGATGACATATTTATAATCAAAATAAAAGTAATGGACACATATATATGACATCTTAAATGTACCATCTATACTAGTAACTTTTAGTAACAATTTTTATGCTCAACTTTTACATATAAGTGTCTCCAACAACATTTATTGAAGGTAATTTTAGTCCTATTTGTATTACTGCATTTTTTAAGTAATATTTTAGAAAAAATCCTCATAAATATGCCCTACTTTGAGAAGTAAACTCATTTGTTCATACTTCGTATTCAGAACTTTGCTTATAATTTGCTCTTTTTTTACTACGGAAGGCCAACCACCAAAATCAGTGAGGTAAATGCCGGAGGACATTTACCAGATATTATTAAGCAAAAAAAAGATACAAAAGAGAGGGGGATCAGACCGATACCTCTCAAAGGAGGCATACCTCCGAAAAACAGAGAATAAAACATTGGGGGGACAAGGCCTGACCCAATAAAATAAAAGTACAAAGAAAATCTTAGAGAAGAAAGTCCAAATAAATCCATAAAGTAAGCATTTTTGGCCCGGGTTGGAAGCTGATTGGGCTGAGTGTCAGTAATGTGTTGGGCTATCAATTGATCCGCAAGGAAGTAAATTCTTAAGTTACATAAATTCTAATACATAGTAACTATTAACTAATATACACATATTTAGTAATTACAATTAAATTTATATAGAAGTTGCGGAATCAAATTAGAATGTAATAAATAAGTGATATGATATCCTAAATTAAAATAATAAAATCATTATCCTAATCACAAGAATTGCACATGTAAATCAATACGGGAGAGAGAAAGTAGGTGCGTACAAGAGTACAAAATTTGAATTCGTTGAAAAATACTAGAGTGATTTGAATATCATAAAGTTATTCAAGTTATTACTAAATTATGTAAATATGTATATCGATAAATTGAAAATGTGTCATGGTAATTGATTTTTTTCGCAAACAAAAGGTTATATAGAAATAAAGTTAAAATGAACGTCTTTACCCGATTAAGCCAATGGGGTTCCCTAAACTTCGGATTTTTTGTATTAATCGATTTAGTGAATGATATAAAAAGAATCTTGACTGGTAAGGCTAGCACAATTGATCAAAAAGTTGCATGTTTGCATATTTCCTACTCTTTTAATCTACATGAGGCAATTTGTATATATAATATTATTAATGTGTAATAATATGGTCGCGCATGCACACATATGTTTGTATCTTATGTGTATTTATGTTGGATCGTTTGAAAGTTCAATTCTTATCAAACATGCTCTCAACTCTGTAAAGTAGATTATACACCACTTAAGATATTTTTACTTGGACTGAGATTTTCTGGTAAAATCTAGTCTGGTGTAGTAGATGCTTGATATATATTATAACTGTCGATTTCTGATCTGGTCTATTTAAGTTTGACGTAACATGATTTAGGACTGAAACCCGTACAAGTAAAAACATCTAGAGTTTATATATGGGTGCATCTAAAATCTATGTCTAATAAGTTTTAGAAACTATATTCTCATGATCAAAATGTCTTGAGTGAAAACAATACTATTTTTTATCGAACTGCATATGAAGTATTACTTAAATAATGTGTGTATTATCTAAGTGCATATTACCTAATGTACTTTATGTTATTTTATTTCCTTTACTTAATGGACAATCTAAGTTGATATTCTATCTTCCTATAAGCAACAACAGTTCCTATCTTTGAGGATAAGTATATTACTAGAGAGGAGAGTGTTCATATGGCTACTAAAAGTATTGAATTGTTAGTCGGGATTGGGGAGGCTTTTTAACCGGTAGATGTTCGAAAGTATGAAAGATTCAAGCTAAATATTGGTATTCAAGATTCAACATACAAATTGATAACATTTAAAAGACTTCTATACAACTCGAAAGAATCAAATAAACATCCCAAAGCTCGATCGATACATTTAAAGAGCAAAAGATTTTTCAAGTTCTACTGAAAGCAACCAAAGATTAGTCCTACCCAATCAAGTCCGCGTAATCATGGATTCCTACTTGAAAATAAATAAAGGAATCAAATATATACCGCATTATATTGTTCACAACAGCCTTGCTGCATAATGAATTATATTAAAGACTAAAATTTATCAAAACATCATGTCTTATAATCTCTATATGTATGGTCATAACTTGTATGTGAAATGCCCAAGTTCTAAAATTCTAAAATATAGAAAACACCACTGAAAATAAAGGTGATTTTATTAATCCATAGGCATGCTTTCATGTTTTCGATTATTTTAGCCTCATCCAACTTGATAAAAGTGTCTCACAGTCAATAATAAACCGACCCTGCAAAATAAGGTAATTAAGTACACTTATATACATATCCAAACCATGTTGCATTAAGCTCTACGAAATTCTAACATAGGTAGTAAGCATACCGTCCCACCAATTCCCTTGTGATACACTCTGTGAGTTGTTTCCTTTGGGATCATATTCCTTCTTCTTGAATCATAGGCATTAAGGATTCAAATGGTAGTTATTTAATCCATCACATTTAACAATTAATGCAAATTAAAGTTTATTTTTCAAGTAAGAGGCTAACCTTAGGCATTGATTGTGCACTTCTTGGCTTGATATACATGTCCTCTTTTGAGCTATAGTAAACTGATGAAGACAATGGGGAAGGTGTTGATCTATCATGCAATGTTGTGTCACAGTTTGCACTATTAATCATATCATCCGCTGACAAAAAACTGAATATTATTTTTCATGTTTCAATATTACGCCTCTCTTTTTTATAGCAACACTTCAACAAACTACACCATTAAACCCTATTTCATGTAATTTGTTACAAAGAATCAAAATAGTGATAGTAATTCACTATCACTTTGACATATAAAACTTGTCAACACCAATTACACATTGAGGGGCGCCAATGAGGAGCAAACCCTAGCCCCCCCCCCCCCCTTCTCTTCTTTCAATCTCTTCTTTTCTCTCAACTACCACATCAACAATGAAGCCTTAGTTCCAAAAGAGTCATTCTTTTCTCTCAAACATGAAAAAAAGAATTACTTAGCAGGTGTTTTCAATTCATCCTTTATATTCCTTTCCTATCATTGTTTAGAGATTTAATTTTGTGTTCCACATCGGTATAACTTGTTGAATGGCGAAAATGTTTTTCTAGGATGCTAATTTTGGGCATCAACAGCTCTGATGACGCAATCACCATGCTACAAGAAGTGATTGATTGGATCTCCGTTCCGGGTTGGTCAAACTGATGGTTCTTCTAATTTTTCCCCTATGGATTCAAGTAATTCCTTTTAAAAGACGGGACAACTAGATTTTGTGTTATTTCCTTGTTGATGTATGGTGAAGCTAGTTCATATGTTTACTTTCTCTCGTAGTTTATTTTGAATATTTTTCTAGTCTTAATTATTGATCTAGTAGCAGGAACAACTATGCTAATAGAAGAGTCTGCCATCTTGGTAGAGTTAGTGAAGTGTTATGTTTTTTGGGGATTTTTCAGTTTCGTGTCTTATCTCATTGTCTATCTGGTTGCTTTTATAGTGGTTATTCTTATCATCAATAAATAAATTTGTTTGCTCTAATATATACGTAGTATATAATTTATAATAATTATAAAGTTGTACATATATCAATCAAACATGACTCATTTTGGGACATGACAGTAAAAAGAATGAAAACTGAAGAAAATACACTCTTTGTTTACAAATGTAGTTTCCAATGTAAAAAAACAATGGACCGAGTCATGCTGAGTTGACAATCACAAAAGAGAGTCAAAGTCTAGCATGAGGTCCACATATGGACCTTCGGTCTCATCTTGGGTGGGAGTGCATTCACCTTATTATTATTATTTTTTGCATTGCAACACAATTATAATGGACCCTATCACTTTGAAGAAAATTGGCCCACAAATCAAATAGACTCTTTCCATTGTGATGCCACATCATCTCCAATGCGCCGTAGTGTTGGAGATGCACTAAGTAGTAAACATAGATGATAATTATCTATTAAATTAACAACCTTCGATGAATCATTACAAATTTATTTGGTAATGTAAACAAGCCTAATATGAAAGAAGAGCATTGAAATCGCACGTTACAAATAGTAATTTACAAACATTAGAAATAATTCCGTAACTTATGATCATAAAATAGATGGTGGACAAAATGTAACTTATTGACTCTTAGTTACTAAAGATGTTCAAATTTTATATCGTAATGACCGTAAATATATTACATATACGCATATATAGTGTCTTTAGTTGCATTTTTGCCTATATATAAATTTAGTTTAGTAATATTAAGACATTTCAGTATTATTAATATTAATTGATGGGGTATATGGCTCAGGGACCTCCGGCCCACATACTCTTACTTCTCCTGCTCAAGCCTAATGTGCACACAAAGCCCTAATATTGCGGCCCAAGTGTGAAGAGGCCCATGATACACACCTGGGTGCCTTCGGCCCTATGGCCGAGGGCTCCGAAATCCACGGGGCAGCCAGATTTGGGCACACAAAGCTAATGGGAGAAAAACATAGAAAATAGGAGCCTTCGGCTCCTAGGCGCCCTCGGCATCTGGGCAGCCTTCGGCTACACAGAGCCTTCGGCAACAGCACGATCAACGAAGATTCCTTTTACAAACAGGCGCCCACCGCATTCAATGTGACGTCACGTCCAACCACCGCATTTAATGCGGTGCACATGCAGATGTCGGTGCCACCCCCGATTGAGGTGACCCTCGACCATCGGATGTTTGACACGTGTACTCCCCTAGCATTTATGGTTACTATAAATAGCCGTCCTTATTCTCCTTGTAAAGCATCTCGAGTTCATTTAATACATTTGACTCTCTCTCTCTTACTTGCTTGCTCTGACTTCTCTCTAGGGACCCCGCTATAACCCCTCGGATAAGCTACCCCCGGGTACGCTATCCATCATTAATATTTGTAAAATAATTTAGAAGAAACTTAAAACATTTCCAAAAATTAAAATGAACGGATGAAAAAAAGAATGACGGCACGATTCAGACGAAGTGATTAATCGTGAGAAGCGGTGTTAATTTTCCCACACCAGTGAAATATGAAGTAATAAAGTGTTATATTAAGAGGCCGTTTGGCAACACCGCTTTTTGGCTTATCAGCCAACCTTTTCACTAAACACGTATTTTTTGCTTTCGCGTGCTGAATTGTGTAATAAGCAGAACACGTAAGGTTGGAGTTACTTTTCTGGCTGTATTGGCTGAAGTTACTGTAGATTACCATTTTAGCTATTTTTACATATGATTTTTTCTTTATTTTATTAATAAAATATATTTTAAAAATTATTTTTTCTTAAATCAGCAGAATCAGCCAATGCAGCCACTTCAGCCAGGACTTCATAAATTTTAGCAGAATCAACCAAAACAGCCGATTTTCGTGCTACCAAACAGGCTCTAAGATTATGAGTTTTTCCTTCTATGAAGTTAACCTTTTAAGACGGAACCCCATAGAGGACCCACACCATGATTGTACCAATTGGAATCTGATATCATATTAAGAACTGAGTTTCTATCTTAAAAGGTTAATTTGATAAGAGAAGTAGCACATGATCTTCATATAACAATTTATTATTTCATATTTCACCGGTGTGGGACAATTAACAAATTGAGTTATGGAATTTGAGGAGTAAATGGTAAAAAAAATGAAGTGCAAACTACAACGTAACGATGTAGCAACGTAACATGCCTTGTGATTCTTTCTTCCATGCTTGAAATTAAATTCATATAACTGCTTGTCAAGACATTCCATGAGGTATGAAGATGAATTAGATGAGGGTCTCCTCACCTGTAAATCCAATAATAATCCATATATAGATTATACTACGTATATATTAATATATGCTTCACAATAAATTCAATCAAGATGATATATAGCTCTTAAACAGTATTCCTTAAATTGCATCAACGTCACGCTCTTTTATCCGGATATATAATTAATTAATACGGAGTTTTAGGATGTTTTCTTTTGGACTGAAATTTGCTGGTCTGGTCTGGTCTGGTCTGTTTAAGTCTGGTCTGGTCTGGTCTGGTCTGTTTAAGTCTGGTCTGGTCTGGTCTGAACTGGTCTGGTCTGGTCTGGTAAACGTCTGGTCTCTGTGTATTTTATAACTACGGAAGTCTGGTCTGGTCTGGTCTGGTCTGTTTAAGTCTGGTCTGGTCTGGTCTGGTCTGTTTAAGTCTGGTCTGGTCTGGTCTGGTCTGTTTAAGTCGGGTCTGGTCTGGTCTGGTCTGTTTAAGTCTGGTCTGGTCTGGTCTGGGACTGAAAACAGTCCAAAAGAAAACATCCTTGGTATAAACATCATGTACGATAATACAAAGTCTATTGGTACTCCATACTGTTGATCCAAGCATGATCGTCGTTCAAAACATGATACTCATATTTTGGAATTTCAAAACGTTTTTACTCCTATTTAGGGAATTCTCTCTATCATTATACAAGAATAAAATTAAGCATTAAATATTAATGGATTACTATGTTTTATATATTTTACTTCCTTTAAAGAATGTTTTATTTTACTTCTATTTCTATCAAACAGCATTAATCGTGTTCCCAACAAGGACGAAAGCTACCCAATGATATCGGGTGTTAATTAATTGACAGTTTAGCACTAATAACACATTTGCAGTTTGTAAATATAGGGTTTGTTTTAAAATTAACGTTTTGACAAGCTAATTTAAAAAAACCGATATGATTAAGGGTCAAAACAAAAAATTGCTTATCTAACTGAATAAAATTCACACATCTTAAAATCCCAAAGCTTAGATGTTTTTACTTGGACTGTTTTCAGTCTCAGATTAAGCTAGATTAAGCCAGACTTAGATAATTATAAAATACACATAGACATTTACCAGATCAAACAAGATAAATTAGGACTAGACCAAACCAAATGAGACCTTAAAACACCTTTAATACGCACAGAAACGTTATTAGCTAAGGATAAGCTCTCTGACGAATTTGTTAGGGACGTAACTTTAGTGCGTATGAATCTCTAAATTTGTTGAAATCTCCTTTGGAGAAATTATTATTTCGTATCGTTTTAGTTGATGAATACTAGTTGTACCCTGTACATAAATTGTACACACACTTCAGTTGCCTATATAGACAATTCGTTTCAAAAGGGTCAGAATCTCATATCAAAATGCTTATGTACATAGACAGTTTACAATTTGTGTACAAATTTGGGATATACGTAGTACCAAGCATGCCTCTTTAGTTGATAGACTCGAGTTCTCAAGGGATTGAATAGAACATCAAAAGCCAACACAATATAACTAATTAAAAAAAAGCGTGCAAACACATACAATGAATGAAAAATGTTAAGTTAATTCACAAGAGAAATAATTTGACTTACAAGAGGTGGGAAAAGTAAGGAGAAAATCCCAGGGGACTGGGATGAATCCTTAGGAGCAGAAAGATCTTCGGTTAGAGATGATGACGATGAACCGACTTGCTCCTTGCCAATTTCCATTGTTATGTTTAATTTGTTGGAGATAAAGATGAATTGGATGAATAAGAAGTGAGATTTGAATTGATTGAGAGAGAAAATTACAGGTTGGGGGATGCGTAGAATATTAAATCCGGAGATCGAAATAAAAGGTGACTGACTCATGCCGTCACCATACCATATCAGTCCCATAATTTAGACTAGGATTGGAACACCTCACATTTCACAAATACAAGTTATGTAAAATCCATAAATAGGAGTATAAAAACGTGGTTTCCTCTATGAATAGGAGTTGTTTAGTCCGTATAAAAGAATGACGGAATAAGAATAAAAACGAGGTTGTCAAATAGGAGTAGATGAGTTCTATTTTGAGAAAAGTTACACGCTATATGTACGATATTTTCTCTAATCTTAAATAAACACTATTGTTCAAATTTCTGCCCATGCAAAAAACCCATGTTCCCACCGGAGTTTCATGTGTACATTTTAGCATACGTTACTTTTATTCATGTCATCATTCTATGGTGGATTATCCAATTTTTAAGTGTTCAATGTTTTAACTAATAAAATTTTAAAGAAGAATAAATAGATTTTTATTAAATTACACATATATACTTGCATTATTTTTTAAATTTTGGGTGTTCATGTGAACACCTTGGAACACTACCACATCCGCCTTGACCGCCACACATGACTTTTTTGTTGGAAGTTAGAAACATTTGCGTATAACACTGATATAATTTTTCATTAAAGAGTTAATGTGTTAAAATGCAACATTATCAATAATTAATGTATCATTTATGTATCACATACAGATTTGTGTAGTTCAGATAAAAATAATAAAACTTTAAAAGTAACAAAGTTTTTGGTACACCCATAAAACTGACAATATTTAATGAAATGGACAAGTACGGAGTACAAGATACATAAATTTGCGGCATGTTTGATGTAAGGCTGATTGCACAAAAAGCAATTGTGATCTATTCACTCGTAAAAACTCCACTCCCACCCACTTTACACTTCGCTGGAGGAAAGCAAAAAGGAGTTTTTTTTCGAATTAATGTTAATTAATTAATTAATTACGAAAATAATGCTGGAAAAAAAAGTATTTACCGATCTACTGCTGGCCTTAACCACGGTCAGGAGTAAGTCTCCCAACGGTTGGGCGACTTATAAGTCGGCAAACGGTTTGGCGACTTATAAGTCGCCCAACCGTTGGACGACTTATAAGTCGCCAAACGGTTTGGCGACTTATAAGTCGTCCAACCGTTGGGCGACTTACCCCTGAAATATGGTTGAAGTAGCAAATCTGGAGGAGTAGCAATGTGGATATACTCCCATGACCAAATCTGGAGGAGTAGCAAAAATCCCCCAAGCTCTGTGCTCCCTCTCTGGCAGCTGCGACAAAGCTGTCTGTACAGATAAGCCAGGGTGGCACTACCCCAGCTGAACTGTGCTGCTACATCAAACCTCTCTAGCAAAGGCAAGTGCAACACCTGAACCTCATTTCCGCTCTTGTCAGCGAAAATGGAGGCTCCCATCATCATCAATATATAAGCCCGAGCATGCTGCTGGATCATCACCTCATCAGCGTCGGGAGGAAGCACCTGGAAGTGCTCCCTCAACCATGGCATCCTTAGAGATGACCCTTGAAGGTCAGTCCTAAGAACGAGGCGGATACCTAACAAACGCTCACACTCATCCATCCACTGTCGACAAGCAGTGCCTGTAACAGCTCTCCCATGAACCTCTAACCCGGTAAGTACAACAACATCTCCCAATGTCACTGTCACCTCTCCAACAGGGAGGTGAAATGAGTGTGTCTCCTGCCTCCAACGCTCAAGTAGAGCAGTGAGAAGCGCTCTATCTAGAGGCACAGTAGCCACTAATCTGTGAAGAGTATAAAAACCTGCAACACCAACATAGGCTAGTACTCTGTCGTCGACGTGCAAATGCGACAAACCCCGCAGGTGCTCGCGGCACCTATCCACCTGAACATCCATGCCAAGCCAAACATCCTCACTCCTGTGCGAGGCCTGCAATGTCAGGACTGAACGATCACTCGGCCCAGGATCCGCTGTCACCTCCATGCCTACAAACAAACAAAAATTGTATTAGTTCTTATTCCATAATATATTAATTTTTTTTAACATCCCTTTTTGAAATTATTATTTTTTCTTGCAATGAAAACATTAATTGTAATTGACTCTAAATAGAACCTTACCCAGCGGACCCCCCTCGTGTTTAGACGATCTCTTCGCACATGTGGCTCTATTATGGCCGGTTTGGTGGCATTTTCCACATCTAACCGTTCCTCGTGGATCTTCATCCATCTCATTCTTAATACGTGTCGACTTTGGTCTTCCTTTAGCCCGAAGCATGGATGGATCGTGCATGTTTTCGGGTCCATTGTAAGTAGGCCAATAATCACGATCAGGAATCGGTTTGAAGACTCTATGATAAGTGGCGGCGTATTGGTCAGATGAGAAAAAATTATCCACAAATGGAGCATAAGACAAACTACGCTGTCTACACACGGCTAACACATGGGAGCATGGAATCTTATATATCTCCATCTTTTTACAAGTGCAAGTTTTCCGTTGTAGATGGACAGTTTGTTTTCTCCCACCCTTTCCCAACGTTCGACCACCACAACCGATTTCCACCTGAAATATACCTCGGCCTAAATCAAATGGATTCCTCAATGTATATCTCAAGCGTCGACATATCCTCCATCTGAGTTATGCCCCACATATTTGTTATAGCTAGCTCATCAATGAGGGGCATAAGCATGTACTTTCCCCCGTTCATGGGAAATTTCATTTTCAAGCGCAAAGAACGACTAGGATGAATCATTGTGGCTGCATGTATTTTTTGAAGGATCTCCAGCATGCATGCGCCACGAGAAACCATTACAAAGTTGGTTCTACCACCTTGAATGCATATTTGCCCAGCATCCTCATAATAGTTCCCTCCCCAATGACATATTATTGGGAAGCTTGAGAAATCCATATTCTAATAACAATACATGTCCAACTTTCATGAGTACACATTAATATACACACTTTATACACATTCAAATTTTCAATAGAAAAAACTACCTACATTGTAATATACCCAAATGACAAAATGCACAATCAATTCACATTTCAATATCAAAATACCCAAATGTTGATATCTACATTCAAGTCTACATTTCAATACCCAAATCTAACAACATTCAAATCTACCCAAATCTCAAAATACACAATTATATTTACGAACAATTTCATATCAAAATTCAACAGTTCATACATATTCACATTACACAACAAATCAATTCACAAATGAATTCCTAATTTACAAAATCGAATTTTCAATATTCAAAACCCTAACATGAAAAATGAGATAAATTGGAGAGATTTACTTACCTAGAGTGTTGAAGATGATGGAGATGAAAGATTATTGGCAAGATGGAAAAGACCTCGCCGTCACCGGAGCTCGAGATTCACCGGAGATGGAGCTGCACCCGTCGCCTTTATCGCTTGCCTTCAGTTCGCCAGAGGTTGGTTTTTTATTTCTTCTGCGTTCTGTTCTGTGGCTTGGCCTTACCCGATAATTTTACTTAAGGGTAAGTCACCCAACGGTTGGGCGACTTATAAGTCGTCCAACGGTTTGGCGACTTACCCCGACCATGGTTAATCGGGCAGTATATTGGTAAATAGTTTTGACCCAACCCTATTTTCATAATTATTTAATTAATTAACATTAATACGGAAAAAATCTCAGCAAAAAGGAGTCACCTCATCAAATGATAATATGGGTCCCACTCAAAATGTAAATCTTAGTTTATATTTAAAGTGTTTTAACTTTTATATTTATACTTTAATTTTTATAAAAAATATATTAAAACTCTTAACTTTTTAAGACCATTCATATGACATCAATATCACATATATAAAGTAAAATGAAAAAAGTTGAAGTTTCAATTGATGAAAGATTTCAGATCTAAAATTTTTCCTAAATGGATTCAGGTACCAAAGTTAAGATTTCACAATTAAATTAATTTTTCATCTTTCAAATACTTTTATTTTAAAATAGCTCTGAAGTAAAAAAAAAAAAAAAGCTTCAAATTTATTTACAAAAAAAACGGAAAGAAATTATGTATAATAATAAATGTAAGATTTTAATTAAAAAAACTTTACCAAGTGAATATATTGATGGTGTTGAGTTAGAGTAAAAGTAAAGATTTATACATTTAAATTTTAAAAAAAATGTGTTGGGTGAATATATTGACGGTGCTGGGTTGTAGAGAAGAATGCTTTGACTGAGTGAATACGTATAAAGAGCTGTGAAATTTGATTTATTGACGGGATAGGGTTGCGGGCAGCCTAAGCGGCGATTGATTCGCACCAGTGAATATACGACGATTATGAAGTGTGCTTGATCTGGAGGAGTTGTTAGAATGTGATTCCAAACAAGGCTCCGGTTCAATAAATTAGGAGACCCGTCACGAAAAATAGGCCTTATATTAAATCAACACAATACCAAAAATCAACCTTAAAATCAACACAATACCAAAAAAAACTACAAACAAATGTGAGATTAAGAAATGATCACTTTTTCGAACTTGAAGAAATAAAATTAGTAACAAAATCTAAAATCATAAATGAACGAATGAAAATAGAATAAGAAAAAGTGATTTTTTTACCTTTGGTTGGATAACCTGAATAGTTGGATCATTTAGGCAAATAAAGTAATGAATTGTTTTCAAAAATAACTACCCTATATATATACACTATATAGATTATACAAAAAAATGGGCCTTATACAAATTAATGAATTGTTTTCAAAAATAACTACCCTCATCTAATTCCAAACTATGGAGTATATGCTTCGATCATTGTGTAGGCTAAGTTTTTACAGATCATAATTTAATGCTATTTCAAACTTATTATTTGTTTTATAGTTGAGGTTGTTTATTGTTAAAAGTTGAAATTCAAAGAAATTGTTGATGATGATATTGCATTATTATGCCCTTTGACGAGCATGCGCTTATGCTTCATTCCAAATTGATTATACCGGCACTAGCTACTTCATATCTAATGGCCGGGAACTTAAATGATCTTTTTCATAAGATTTTGTTGTCATATAATCAAAGGGAAATTTGTAATTTTAATCTTGTAACTTTTGGTTTTTATCGTTATTGGTCTTGTAAATTTAATCACTTACAAATTTGATCCTGTAGTTAATAAATATTTGCAATTTAAGGATTTTCCACCACAAAATACACTTTCCGGCAGAAAAATCCGACATCGGCGCCGGTATACTATCACCGGAAAGTGTATTTGTCAGGGGATCAAAAATATTAATTAGTTACATGATTAAATTTACAAGTGAGTAAAGTTGCGAGACTAATAATGAAAATGACCGAAAGTTATGGGACGAAAATTGCAAATTTCCCTATAATCAGATTTACGAACTTTAAATTATTATTAGTTTAATACTACCTCCATCCTGATGGACTTTGTCAAGTTCAAAGTAGATGAGAAATAAGAAAAGTAAAAAATGTGTTATTGAGATTCATGCAGAAGAGAAAGAATTGAAAAGAACCACAAATTAGTTGTTTTCATTGGAAGTGAAAAAAAATTTTGGGACAACTAAAAAGGACAGTTGACAAAGTCTAATGGTCGGAGGAAGTAATTTTTATGCATGTGATAAGACTTTCACCTTTTTAATTTTTAAATATTATAGGTTTGTGATTGTTATTGAACGTTAGTGATGTAAGAATAATATAAAAAGTAATACTGTTATGGAGAATTCTTATACTCCGTAGTATATATTTTGAAATCATTTTTAACAAGCATGATCTTTATTCTTTAATATTGATTGTTTTACATTTCATTTGTTTGATATATCATATATTAGGAGCTGGTCGTAAATTCATGCCTATTTTTGGTCTTTCGGGTCGCTTATCCAGGGATACGTAATCCCAAAAATTTACAGAATTGGCAAAGAATGACTTGAAGGGCCAAAAGCTGCAAAAAAAATCCATAAAAGTGCATTACAAATTTAGAAGTTGGAGGAATATCAGCGCTGAGGACCAAAGCGAAAATGACATAATAGTGAAAAGGCCAACAGTTAATCATTTTCAAAGAAAAATTGCCAAATCCATCATTCACCATATAATTGGCATTCATAGACACCTGATGATTGATGAATGATGATGCCTGGTAGAACTGTAGAATGGAAAAGAGTTTAGGTTCATGTATGGGACACTGCGGGACCAAGAAAGGTACCGAGTGCGATCACGAGTGCGTACTAGAAAGAATTGCGGGTGCATTCCTTGTTAATAGCATAACCAACAAGAAAACCTATGATAATTTCCAAAGGTGGCTCCAATGCAAGAACTTAGAGACCATGCAGGAAACATGATAGTTGGAAACAAGTCAGACCAAACCACCTACGAGCAGTCTCGGCCTTCGAGGGAGGGTGGTCAAGCTTAGCTGAAAAGGAAGGGCTCTCGTTTCTCGAGACATCGGCTCTGGAAGCACATAATGTAGAAAAAGGTTTTCCAAACCATTTCGTTAGCAACTTATCACATAATCAGCAAGAAGGCATTAGATGCAGATGAAGCATAAAAAATAGCTGCTGCAGTTCTAAGTAAAGCTACCACTCCTCTGAGAATGTAAGAGAGGCTAATGTTCAACCTGAGTGACTTGAATGAATTGTTGTTCTGGAGGGAAATATGGGTTATTTTAGCAAGCTTGCAAGTTACATCATTTTTTTTAGGTGGTGGATCCTCAGTCACTCATTTTTCTTCTCTTGGAACAAGAGAGGTTAGTTTGTAGCATACTTTTTCTACTAAATTGTTGCAAGAGAACTGGTGGATGCTTATTGATTACTAGGTTTGGAAGATTTTCTCATCCTGAAATGTCAACTCTTTTGTTAGATAAGTGGACTAATAGTAGCCTTATTGGCAGTTTATATGGCAAGGAACAAAATGTGGCAATTTTAGTTTAATTGATTTGCAGAGGTTGCTTATATTTTTCATTACAAGTCTTACCTTTTTATGAGCCTCTGATACTCCTAATGTGAGATATCATCTTATATTTTAGCCTTTCTTTTTTATTTGGATAATTCTAGAGCTTCTAGGTTGGGTGAATTATTGTGGCAACCATATGAATTTGTTATTAGTTTAACGTCTACTGTTAAGAATGTATGCTTTAACCCATACTTTATGTCAATTCGTTTCATTCTGATTTCATTTAGTTAACTTTTATTAGAACATTAATTTATGTCATCTCATTATCATTTCATTAATGTATACTTGTACATCTTGAAGTTATGAACACAAAACATCACCTAACCATACCTAAGAAAAAGGTTCTATCTCTATGTTCGTATGACGGATATCGAATGTTCTTTGAAGAAACTCTCTAACCCTATGAATCAATTCAATAGGATTCACTTCGGGCTCAACCACGACATGACATGAACAAACACTTCTCCCAACTGTGATGGACCAAACATGCAGGTCATGAACATCATGCACTCCCCTTATGCCTTCCAGCCCGTTCTTCACAAGGGTAATATCAACATCCTTAGGCGTCCTCTCCATTAAGATTGTGAATATTTCTCTGAGCATTGGTCCAGTGGCCTTCAGAGCAACAACTGAGAAAACAAGCGTGCAAATCGGGTCAACGAGAAACCACTTTGGCTTCCACCACATCACAGCTCCACTAATCATCACCCCAGCAGATTGTATCAAATCAACAATGGCATGCAAGTAAGCCCCTTCAACATTTATGTTTGAAGTCTCCTTTTGTCTACACGATGGAGATGGCATCACTACCATACTGCTCTCTGGAAAAAGTTCTTCCAGTTCATGATTTTGCTCTTCTAGAGTATCAGAATGATGATGGTGGTGGTGGTGGTGATGATGTGAATGTGAATGGTCATGCCCAAGCCACAAAACCAAGACTAAGTTAATTATAAAACCAAAAGCAGCCGTTTCGAACATGATAATCCCATTGACTTCAACACTTTTGTGGAGAAATTTCTCAACTGCTTGGTATATCAAGGTCCCAGAAATGGCCCATATTAATTGTATAGATACAAGGGCACCTAAGACTTCCAACCGGTGGAATCCATAGGAGTATTCAGAAGTGACCTCCCATCCAGAAACCCAAACTGTTAAAAGGGAGATGCAGATTCCCGCAATGTCAATTAGTAAGTGACCTGCATCGGTTAAAACAGCAAGGCTGTTTGCCTTTATGCCTCCAGCGATCTCCACAACCATGGCTGCTGCATAAAAGATTATGAGCCCACACAGCTTAGTGGTGGACTTTGACCGATTTCTTGAATCTGCCACTTTGTGTTCTTGTTGCGAGAACGGACAAATGGTACTGCAAGAAAACTTCTGCTGCATTGGGATGACATCAACCATCTCAGCTTCATGTTGTCGCAATGCTCTAGACTCAGAATCCTCCAGGTGTTGCTCCATCTGCATTGATTAAAATGATTACTATAAGTAAGTTTGCTAGTTGCAGCACAAACTCATACTCATGCTGTCATTTTAAGGAAAAAACTGTGACATTTAGGGAAATCATTATTTTTTCGGAAATTGACCAATATAACCTTTTTATATCCATATATAGAATATTACAAGCAAAAGTGAAATATTAGAGGATATTCTAGTCATTCTACGAAGTTTATTGAATTGTTATATCACTTGTTCTAAACACCCCAACAACATGAAAACTGGAATATCATAGCATTTGTATTCGTATTTGAAAACTATTCAAATAAAAAACATATTTGTATTCGAATTCTACTAACTCGAATTCGAATCCCCATTTTCGAATTTGAATCACGAATCAAATCAAAATGGACATGCCAGATGACGAGTTGTGAGCTCGGCCTCGGCCCACAGAGACATTTCAACGTGATGAATTGAGCACATCACATAGAACAAACTGTAGAGTATCCTCCATCCAATTAGTTGTACCAAAAAAAAAGCATTACCACTCTCTCATACAAAATTAAAGTGAAGAGCTTAAAGCCAATAAAGACTAGGGAGAACAAAATGTTGAGTATCCTCCACTCCATTAATATCATCTATAACAAGTTTTTTCAAAAGGTGTGTAGGCTTTGTTTGGGAACCTTCAATTTTAATTAGGAAATGATATGTTTTTTTCTTTTTCCAAAATCAACTTTTTCTCATAGGTTCTTATAACTGGAAAATTTTGAACTTTGTGTCTATTTTTAATACTTTTAAAAAAAAAATTAGAGCCTATTTAGTGAGCCCTATTTTCGTCTTAATTAGGAACTGATATGTTTTTTCTCATATAAGTAAGGTTGGAGTTGTTTTTCTTCTTGGATTAACATAAAGGACTAGTTTAGCTATTTTCATACGATTTTGGTTTAATTTATTAAAAAAAATTAAATATATGTTTTCCATAATTCAACAGATTCGGCCAATTCAGCTAGAACTAGTCAATTTCATAAATTTCAGAAGAATTAGTCGATTCAACCAATTTCAATGCAATGTTACCAAACGGGCTCTTAAACCTCTTATTAAATTAAAACAGCTCTTTTTTATAGGTTCTTCTACCATTTTAATTAGATTTTCTAAATTACCAGACAAAAATCGACTTTAGTTATAATACGTAATTATGAGAATAATAATCTGATTGTTCATATAATCAATAAATAAAATAATCTTACTACCAAACAAGCTCTTAATTATTCACAGGAACATTTAAATAAAAGATTCTTAATATCGTAATCAATAAAAAACCAAAAAGATAAATGAATCTGCTGCAGTAAAGCTATTTATAAAATGGACCAGAGTTGTTGGCATTTATAAAATGGACCTAAAATAAAAAAAACATTTTTTAAGCGTCCGTCGGAAAACCAATCTTCATGATATCCTTCTTCGAAACAAAAAAAAAACATAAATACCCAAACAATTAAGAATTGAGAATTGAAATATTCCATTTCTAATATGAAAATTTGATAAGATGACAAGAAAAGGGTACAAACAAACGATTAATATGAAGAAATTTACCTGGGAATGACGGGCAGAAGGAAATGCAGATGATAGGCCGGAGGAAGGCCGGAGGTTAGGTCTCCCAACGGCGGGCGTCGAAGAACATTTGTGTATATATATTTACAGAGCCAACCTTTGCACTGCTAAGAAGAGCATCCAATCCCGGAAAATAGTCAAATACATATGGCTATTACCACCCGAGGAATAGCATGAATATGTCACACATATTGTGTGATGGGTTTTGATTTGTTCATCCAAAATAGCACTATATTCAGTTAGCTGCATTTGTGGGATTCTTGGTTTGGCATTTTGGCCTGATTTGTTTAAAATTATTTTGATTAAATATTTTGATAATTACAAAATACACATATACTCCGTAATAGACATATATATCATGAGGTCATAACCGTTCACACCAAATATCCTCTAATATTACTAAATTACAGTTCGTGGGTAGAAATATAATTTAGAAAAAATGAGATGTATTACGAGTCAGTTTGGTGATTATATTTTTCGGCTTATCAGGTCTATCAGCTAACTTTTTAACCAAATATGTAATTTAGTTAATTATATGTATTCCTTTGTACGGAATTTTATCATTTCAGGACCCGAAAATTGTGGAATACATAGTGGAGTATACTGTAAGTACTGTACACACATTTATATAATTCATTTGGTAACACCAAAATTTGTTATATCAATTGAATATGTTGAAATTTGTGTAGTTGTGATTGTAATTACTAAATAAAAACTATATTAAAAGATAGCTAAAATATCTATCTTTCGTCACGTCAATTACAGATGTTACTCCAATATTACTTATGTTGATTGTAACATAAGTCAGGGGGCAAAGTCAAATATTTTGTGTTTGAGATGTCTCTGAAATTTCATTTTCGTTTCTTTTAAAAGGAATAATTGCTTGATTGACATTTGCATCCTTTACTCAATCAATAACAACTACGAGTAAGAAATTTCATTTCTTATGGAGCGTGTCAACTCAAAATATATGAAATAGTGGTGCAACCAGAGAGACCGTGAGGCCGGTACCCCCACCCCCCACCCCCACAAAAACTGCACACATACATATAAGTAAAAATACTTATAGCTTAAAGAATAGGGAGTACTTTAATATGAACTTCAGCCCCCTTAGAGCAACCGCAATGCAGGGAGTCTAAGATTCACATCAATGACCAGAGTTGTTGGCATTTATAAGTGTAAGTGTAGAAACTCCACATCAATGATTTAGACACTCTCGGTTTGTTTTTGATTCCAATGAAGGGAGTTTTACGTTTTCTCTTGATGAGCTGGCAATATTTTCTTACACACTGTGCAAAGCTAAGTCTAAGTGTAGAAAGTCCATAAGACTTGCCGTGTGGCATAAAATTCATCTAGAAAAGTTGTGGGTCTTTGAAAAATTATAGGGAAACATCAAATTAATTACTGCCGATTACCACACCCACTCAAATTAAGCCACATGGATAATTAACTTGACTCATAGACGGTATGCGTTGGGGGATTTTTTTAATAACTAAAAGTCTCCCTAGTCCACCTTGCATCATGTAGATTAGAAATCCATTTAATTAATTGACAAATGGCATATTTCACATGCACCAGACAAAGCCGCAATGCGGATGCTCTTAAGCCACTTACTTCTAAGAATATTTTTAATTGAAATTAATTTTTTTGTCTGATCCAAATTGGTATAGTCTAGTCTAAAGTGGTATATGTATATTTTATAAATGGTCTTATCTGGTTTATTTATATCTAATCAAGTATAATTTGTGACTGAAATTCGTCTAATTAAAAACATCGTAAGTTTAAGACCCCACCTCTGAGAAGCACAACATTTAAGATACTAAAAAAAGGAGCATTATGGTGTTTCAAGATATTATTATAATTTGACTAAAAACTCAATTCAAATACTAAGGCTCTGTTTGCAAGTGATTGTGCTCAAATAAAAGCACTTTTTGGGAAAAAGTGATTAGTAGTAAAAGTTGATAGTGTTTGATAAAAATAAGTGTTTTTTGTGTAATAGAAAAAGTAAAAAGTAGATTCTACACAAAAATCGAGAAAGTAAAAGTTGGTATTTAAAATAAGTGTTTTTTCTTAAAAAAAGGAAGAAGCCAAAAGCACTTAAATTAATTGTTTGCAAACAAAGCCTAACTCTATCTCTCGAAAAAATGTCTAAAGACAATTGCATACTAATTGTATGATACGTATTACTACGTATATATTAAAAAATATGTACAATTAATTAAATTACTACCCATGAACAGTAATTTAGTAATGTTGGAGGATATTCCCATTAACTAGTGTGTGAAAAAATACCACAAATTTTATGGATAACTAATTTACTAGTCCAGGACACAATAACAAATTGTTGTAATATTTTTTTTTAAGGAATGGATTTAATTAGCATTAGTCAAATCGTTCGTTAAAGCGGATACAATGAAAGAATGAGGAGAATAAAACAAATATTGTGAATCTGGCAACGAACAAGCCGCCCTAGCTAGCAAGTGAGCAGGCTTATTCGCTGACCGCTTTACATGACTAAAAGAAATGCTCGAATAGTAATTTGTCAAATCATTGATGTCTTCTCTCAGTAAACCCACCGCAGAATAGCTTGGTCCGTTTAAGATTTCTGATATCGCTCTTGCAGAATCTGATTCAACCTCGACCGATATACCTCCGAAGTCCTTGAGCCAGCTCAATGCTTCTCGAATGCCTACCAACTCTGCCACCAACGGCGTTGAGCTCCCCGACCACTTTCTTGCTACACTTGCAATGAATTCGCCTCCGTGATCCCGGAGACACCAACCAAAGCCGTCCCTGTCCGCCCTGATAGCTGCGTCGACGTTTAGTTTCTAGACGCCTGGATCAGGTCTTCTACACGAAGCTCTGCTCATCCTACCAACCTGTTGTCTTCTTCCCTCAGTAGATCTCGCTTGCGCCTGCTTCCAGCCATCAACCAAAGCTCTGGCCCGGTTTATTACCTTTTGCAGCAACGAGCTCTTTCCCTCTCAAACACGCAGATTGCGTTCATTCCAAAGTGCCTAGCAGCCCCACATTAATACCTCCAAATTTTCTTGTTTCTTCCGCCAGAATTCGAAGTTAACCTGTTCAGAAAAAGGAATATTGTCCCTGGAAGACCACTGCCAGCAAAGATCCGTCCACATGTCTTGAGCAACAGTACATTGCCAAAAGATATGCTCCAGAGATTCCAAAGTTGCGTCGCATAGTCCATATTGCCCCGGACAGTCCACTCTTCGAACCTGCAAATTTTTCCTCAAAGGAAGGCACCCGCTACAGACCTGCCAAAAAAGCATTTTAATTTTAGGTGGAAGTTTAACCTTCCACATATCAGTCCACTCCATACTCAACTGCCCACCATACTCCCCCACCATACTTCGGTAACAACTTCACACCGAAAAACTACCACTCTCCTCTCATCTCCAACATGACGAATCCTTAATCGGATTCCTACTCAGCGGTATTCCTCGTATGATAGCCACATCTCTGGCTCCAAAAATGTCTGCTATCACATCCAAGTCCCATTCCCGTTTATTAGTAACAAATAAGTTAGCCACTACGGCCTCATCCAAGCCATCAACCTTCTCCGTTATGACCCTCGGGTTTCCCATGTCCGGTAGCCACGGTTCCTCCAAAATATTTATGAAGTGTCCACCCCCCACTCTCCAATAGTACCCTTCTCGAATGATATTCTGAGTATGAATCAGAATCTGCCAAATAAAAGACGGGTTACTCCCTGGTTTAGCTTTAAGAAAGACTTCTTTTGGGAAATATCTCGCTTTAAACACTCGACCCACCAAAGACTCAGGATTCATAAAGATTCTCCATGCTTGCTTTGACAACATAGCTAAATTAAAATCCCGGAGCCTTTTAAAACTCAATCCACCGGCAATTTTTGGAATGCAAAGAGAGGCCCAATCCTTCCAATGAATCCCTCTTCGTGTCTTGCCCTTCCACCAGTACACATTCATAATATTTTCAATTTCACGGCAAAGGTCAACAGGCAGAAGAAAAACATTCATAGAGTAAGTAGACATAGCCTGAATCATTGCTTTTAAGAGCACCTCCCTTCCCGCTTTAGATAAGAATTTATTATTCCAATTATTAATATGCGTAATCACTCTCTGCCTGATATAACCTAAAATGTTATTCTTATTCCTCCCACCACGGCACGCAACCCCAGATATTTCTCATCCTCCCCTAACAACCCGACTCCAAGAAGTTCAATCAAACCCTCCTGATAATTGGCATCAACATTGGTACTAAAGAATACCTTTGATTTATTATAATTAATTATCTGTCCTGGAGCCTTTTCGTAATCAGCCAGAGTCTCCTTGATTAATGAAGCTTCATCATGAGATGCTCTGAAAAGAGTAAATTGTCGTCTGCAAAAAAAACAAATGAGAAATCATAGGAGCCCCACGGGTAATAGAGACCCCATGCAAATGACCCATAGATTCATATTTACGAAGTAAGGCGCTGAGCCCTTCTGCCACGATCAATTTCTGCCACGATCAAGAACAGATAAGGAGATAAAGGGTCTTCCTGACAGATGTATTGGAAGTTGGTGAAAAAATCTCCTTCTGTGGGGAATATGGTTTTGACTCATTCAAAATTCAAACAAAATCTTTTAAATTTGCAGTGAAAAATAGAGATTTGGTCCTCTTGGAAATCAAAGGGTCTCTACTGTACAAGATTCACTTCAAACTTGAACTTGCTTCCCAAATCATCCGGTTCATCTTACAAATCAAAAATCCTGACCAGTCAAATTTTGAGAGTAAAAAGTGATTTGGAGATATCACGATTTCCATGGAATTTAACAGAGTAGGGTGCTATGTGAAAATTGCTAAAAAAAATAAAGGGGGCTCCATTCAGATACCCATGAGACCACATAACTCGAGCCTGCTTAAATTCCTTAACGTGTTTTCTAATTTTGTAGGGTTCTCAGAGACACAGCAAGACGACTCTGTCTCTCTTCAACACGGGAGCAAGTTAGAACCCGAGGAACCCACGTTCATCTCCAAACTGATTTTCCATTATCAAATCCAGGCAGTAGGTACTGAGAAACAACAGGTCTTCTTTTGTGAGAAACAACCTCAGTTGCCGCTAATCCAGGCTTACTCAGGCGCATCTGATGATTTTAATTATTCAGATGACTCCATCTTCACAGATGACTTCTTGGGGCATGCAACTGAAAGTGATCGCCGTCCTCCTATTTCATACCAAGAAGAAATCAGGAAGTCCAAATTTAATAAGGAAATTT